CACCTTTTTATGTAAAAGTAAACCAACTTTTTATATAAAAGTAAATAGCAAGAGTCAATAGAAAAATACTCTAAAAGGGTTAGACATCAGGGGGACAGGAAAAGTATTTAAATTACTATAGTGATGTCAAAACTTCAAAAAGTAAGCAATCGTATCTAGAATTTTATGTGGTATATTTTATGTGTACCCACGAACTACATTGGTAATATTCTTCTTACTGTTCCTATCACAAACAAGTTCCCTAATTAGAGGACATATTGTGCTGAATAACGTCTTGTTTTTCCATTCTTCTCTACAGAAGTCACAAAACCTAACATAACATCACGCCACTTAAGGCCATTGTACAATGTAACACCCACTTTTCATTATTTATGTTGTTAGGGGGTGAGCTTATTACATGGGACTTATAACATAAATAGTGAAAAGTGGGTGTTACATTGTACAGTGGCATTAAGTGCCGTAATGTGCACCTCTGCCTACCTCTTCGCTGATAAAAGGCGTGATGTTATGTTATGTTTGTGTCTTACTGAAACGAGTTTGAGACTAAAGAACCCAAGGTCACTGGCTATTACTAGCAATTCTATAAAATGAAGCTAAACAAATTAATGAAATTAAAAAATGACGCAATAACTGTACGGGGGTGGGACTTGCTAATGTACTAACTTAAGTATGACGCACTCTTGTAGATACACGTCAATTTATTATGATCTTTATTGCTAGGTAAATAAATTAATAAGTCGGTTGTTAAACATTCTACACATATATCTGTAATTATTATTTCTTTTAAAGCATACTGATATATGTATAGTTCGATGTTTCAGCCATTATCAGGGAATAAAGAATAAAAAACGACTTTTTTTTAATTGGGTCAAGTCTGACACAATCTTCAAAAACCGCTGCAACTCCTGTGAGCTAGGATCTACAGTAGATACAACCATGAAAACACCGGAACCCTGAAGTCCAGCGCTTCCCAGGGAAAGATTCCTGCCAAATACGCTAAAGTAATTCCGTTCGATGGCTATTCAAAACCGACCAGAAAGAAGGCAGATGAATGAGGACCGCAACCAAATTTCCAGGCTTCTAATATGGGTTGAATGTTTCTGACCTGGATATCGAATAAAAACCTTACAATCCGCATTCCATACACAACAATTAGAAAATAAATTCAACATGTAATAGATACAATGAACGTTGCAAATACCGTGTTTATAGTCGTAAATAATTCGTACGCAGTTAGCCCAAATAGGACATTGTACATTGAACAATTCGCGTGTTGTCCAAACTGTTATAGTTATTGAGGCTATTAGGTATTCCTTTGACGTGTACAGCTGTAGCGACGTTTACAAACCATCGATTTTTATATAAAACAACTATATCATATCGCGCTCTTTCATTCTGCGAAGAGCGCGCTACATTGTTATCGTACCGGGTGGTGACAGACGAGATTACTTTTGTAGCCATCCCTGCTCTTTCAGCGGGTGTAAGAGATGACGAAGAGACTGATAAACAAGGATTAAGCCAAACATAGAGGTTATGGTCAATCTCTTCTGATAATAAATCGTCACCAGCTAGCACTGTAGTAGCTCAATAGGGGCTAACGTTTTTTTAGTCACCATGATAGCGCAAATGTAGCAAGAGGTTTTTCTGTTCAATCACAGCAGTTGTCACATATTGAACGTCCAATGGTGTGATAATAGCGAATTCCCTGTTGGATGAAAAACAAGAGGTTCACACTAGTGCCCTCTGGTGGGCAAAAATTCGGTAGCCCCCATTCTATACTGTCTCGCGCTGTTGTTGATGATTGTTATGTTCAAACAAAAATATTTTCCGATATTCTTAAAAACTACTACCCAGCTGAGTGGTAGGCTATTGAAGCTGTCCAGCAGTAAGTAGAAACAGGCTGAAAACTAACAATATTTTGACAAAAATAACCACAAACCTGAATCATCATCATGCCCAGTGTTCAACTGTAGCGCCAGCGCCCTCAGTTGCTTGTACACCTGAACAGCTTCGCTTCTCAGCCAGCCATCATCCTGGTCTTCGGGTTCCGACTCCATCTCCGCATGAAGAGACCTGGCAGTGTCTGTGGTGTCAATAGGATCTGGTGCTCCGATCCTTTCGGCTAACGTGTCGTGGGATCTTTGCAGGCGTTCCAGTTCTTTTAATGTGTTCTGGTAGAGGTGTTCCTGGAAGAAAAGGTGGAGGTTAATTGGGGTTAGTTCAAATTAATTGCATAATTTTAACTTTATTTATTGTAATACTAATTTTGCATGCCGAACACAGTAGGCGATGTATGTGGGAATATTTTTTATAATCATTATCACCTGTAATTACCATATTTCGTGCAAATAAACATTCTTATTCTTCTTATTTCTTTTTCTTCCAGGAGGTTGAGATTTTGTTTCAATGTGGTTTCATTATTGCTTGGTTCGTGTCAAGAAGCAAGGTGTTTCTGATTTGATTTCTGTGTTTTTTCATCAATCATAACGGTTTGTAGCTTAAATATTCTGAGTCCAGAAATGTACCCTTTATGTGGCAATAGATACGCCTTCTATTACCGTGTACCTCTGCATACCCTTAGTGGAATACCCGGCACGGTGTTAAGATAACAGTTACCTACATATGTAAGCAACTAAAAGTAATTATGCTAAGTATATCCACGCCTATAACTGAGTAGAACATTTACAAAAAACCGCCAACTTTACCAAATGCCTTTAACGAATCGAATCAATGAACATTTGAAAGAAGAAAAAGAAAGAAAGAAAGAAAAACCATTTATTTCTGCGCAAAACACACATAACATATTTAAAAAATAAAAAGAAAATAAAAAAAAGCTAAAAATTAAAATGAAAGTGAGATCTTGTCCATGGTCCACAGACTTATTATTTTACTGAAATCATAGAATATTTAATATCTAATATTATCTGTGGACCATAGACAAGGAAACACCCTACTTACTTCATATATAATAATAATTACTAGTTGCATGCATTTATTAAAATTGTTAAATTGGATAAAGGAGTATTAAAAAGGTTTAATTATAATAAAACAATACGAAGCCATTTTATGTACCTACTTGATGCTAGTGTAACCCATTGCCCTAATATTGTGCGTCATGTATGCGTGCGCAAAAACAGGATAATGCTCAGCAATTTCTGCGACTTAAACCTCAAGAGGTTAGCGTCGCAGCCCTGATTTTCAGCACATCCTTGGGTGACATTTGCTTGACTTTTGCATTTATGATCGAATGATCAACGTACGGTTGAATAACCAAGGTATTCTACTAATTAATTAATTGTTCTCTAATAATATTATAGATACAATATCTACAGCTTATTAAGTGAACGTGACTATCCAAAGTAAGTATAGCACGGAGGTATAATTGCACAATGGACGTCGCTCAGGTGTTCGCCAAGGCTTTAGTATTTGTTTTTAGAACACCTGTTTAAGTACTAGATGTTATACAAAACGCCTGTCTGTACTATCATTGACGTCTTTTCTGTTATTTTTGCTAAATAATTCTTTACACAACATTTGTCCCACAAGGCGTGATGTTATGTTATGTTAAAATAGAATAATCAAGTCGCAAATATTCTTGACTAACCCAGGGAGAACCTAACGGGTAACCGGGGCTCCGGCTCGACGTGCAGGAGAAGGAACGGGGTGGTTTTTAGTCAGTAAGAGTCTGACACTCCCTCCCGCCTCACCCAGGCGGAAGCAGTCATTCGATGATTTTCCCCCCTTAAAAAAAACCAGAATGACTATATGATATTAAAAACGAAATTGGCTTTTCAGTAGTAAGTCACTTTTCATAAGTCTGCGATCAAGCATAATTAAAATAAACCATCTATTAGGGCCAGCAAAGACAAGGAAATACCAAAACTATACACCAAAACATAAATGAAACAAAAGAACTAAGGTACATTATTATAACATAACCTTGCAATACATAAAGGTATCATAAACAAGGACGTTAACATAGACGCACCTTAAACTGACAATAGATTTCAAACTTTATAACAAAAGAATAGAATTGAAAGTCTATATCACAATTTTGCCAATTTCGTCTACGTTAACGTGCTGCTTTCGTCAACAGATTTTGGACAGTATAAGTTAGGAATAAAGTCGGAAATCCATTAATGAATTGGATAGTTTGGGATAGCTTTGTGTGCTGTAAGAGATCAGTGGCCAAACAATTAGCCAATAGCAAAGACCTTCGAGCCGAGATTAGGATTTAATCACTGTCCATTGTTCTCCTAATTCACCGGATATGATGTTGTGAAAGGCATCACTTTAGTATCGGGGAAGAATTTAAAATGGCTGAGAAGGTAACTATGTATATATTTTACATACACATACCTATATGAATGGGGCCGTCGGTAGAGGGCACCCTAGACGGACATATATTAACCAGATTAGCGATATATTAAAGAAGAACCAAATTAAAAGTACCCTTAACCGACGAGCATGCATGAAAAGATTGATGACTGTTGATGAAGCCATAGTCTCTGCCTACCCCGATGGGAGATAGGCGTAAAGTTAAATTCAAAATGTATATATGAACTGCACCTAACTCGTAACTCCCATTTTGTATGTGTCAGTAGAATGACAAATTTTTGCTAATATCACATTTTATAAGTAAGGTCTTAGCACGCAATAAGTGAACATATAAACCACTTCCCTACAACTCCTTAGGAAGCCGTACGAAACAGATGATATTTCTCACAATTCAATTATATCGAGAGTTCCACAGGAAATCATATTAAGTATTAACTTATGTAAGTGCTTAGGTACATTGTTCATTAGATTTTTCAGTACCTATGCTTTGTTGAAGTAAATAAATATTCACATACGGGACCGTTGAAACTGCGTTGTCATTGAAAATATTCAAATAAAAACTGGTAGTTGGAATAGTAGATCTAAAAGTCACTAAAGATTTATTTACTACAGGGTAACCTGGGTGTCTTCAAAGCCCGAGTTAATAGGTTGCTTATAGTGAGACGTGCTCCATCATAGGCCGCATCATCGCTTATCACCAGTCGGGATAGTGCCCAAGATCCATAAGTAAAAAAAAAGAGTTTTGTCTATTCTTCACTCCTTCGAACCAATCAGACGAGCAAAAACTCAGACCGTATTTTTGAAGTTTTAATAAATTACAAATTGTTTTAAATACGTAACATTATTTTAGTTTACTTTTTAAATTTGTAATTTGTAATGAAACACGCGCGTGTCTAGATGTGGCAATAAATAAACATAGCTGTATAAGTGTATATATTTTTATTTCAGTAACGGAAATCCTTGTGGCCACTCGAGATATTGAGTGCATTCATTGCTCAATGCATCGTTTATCATTGCATTCTTTATTTAGAGTAGATGAGTACTTTTTACTATTGGACTAGGGCGATTTATCTTGTTTGTAGTTGTAGGTCGAAATTGTAGAGCTAAGTTAAACAATATAAGTATTTTTCTAAACTCGAGATTTTTTTTATAATTATTGGGCTGACGTTTGACTATCTCGCCTGGTGGTAAGCGACGATGCGGTCTACAATGGACCACGTCGTCCCAAGAGCAACCTAGAAGACAGGTTATTAGATCAGTTTGATGTACTTAAGCGAAAATGTATGTTACTTTGTACTTTTCTTTAACAAATATTGTATCTTGCAAATAAGTGAAAGGTCAAAATAGTATCGACCGTCAGTCCATTAGTCAATGAAATTAGTTGAGATAAGTGTTAAACATGGGATAATAAGTAGATAACTCGTCGAGTACCGGTTTTGTAGACACAATTATAGAACAATAGGTTGCGGTCACCGGTGACCGCTTGGTGTTTGACAGTTTAATCTAAGTACATAACAATAGAAAATTCGAGACTTCTTCAGCAGCCTGCAGCACTCATCATTAGCAATCACCAAACAGTATTTATCGACTCAATATCGATTTGAACTGAATTATGAAATCATATGTTGCAAGCAGTCATTAGCGTTAAACGTGAATTGAACAATAAATACATATATACAATACAATATATCATTAGGGTATTGTTGCTCACTCCGAAGGTAATCTGATGATTTCCATCATTGTGAACAAAAACCATTAATATCATGTACCTAAACGTGAGACTTAGAATTGGAAATTGAACAATCTATTCTAACATTTTGAATGCCTATTGGTTACTATTTCGCTATGAATTTGTTATGTAGATGGCGCTATCTTTGATTAATAGTTCTAACCTATACAAAAAGTTTGTGTTAAAAGTGCTCAAAATAAATATAAGGTAATTTTTATGTAGGTACTGACAGATACTAATTTCGAAATACCTATAATCAGTGAACTTGTATGACCAGGTGCAAAAATAATGGAAATCTAAAGAAGATCTAGATCGTTGGTGCAATTTCTGCTTAACCAAAGACGTGATTTTATTTGTGTAATTATACCAATACCTCTTTTTTAATAATAACGGAGGGAAACCTTCAAAAGGCACATGGCTTTTTAGGGGAAAAAAAACTAGAGGGTGTGGATTCTCACCTCACTAAAACTACTCCAGTGGCCACAATCATTAGTTATGGGGGGCACCGAGTCCTCTATAATAGACCTGCTCCGGAACCCCCACGGTGAAACGCCTGTTACGACACATCCCAAGGGAGACGTGTATTTCCCTTATGCCATATACCATATGGTATACCAATACCTACCTCAACGAAGAACAACGAGACTTAATGACATGTGTTTTGTCATCAAGCTGAAATATTTCCATTATGACATTAACTTTAAACACCTACCACCTCTAATTACCTGTCGAAGTGTCATTAGTCGTTACCGATAGGGTTTAATTGACATTAACTATCCATGGAATGGAATGACACAAAGCTGTTACAGAGAATTTTAAGTGTCTATCGTAAATATTTGGTCTTTGTGTCAGTCATGATGCTAATGTTTTATATTTACTTGATAACCTGTGCCCTAATCCTGACTCCATGCTACGACATTTGTATGATCCACAATTTTTTTCGGGTCTGGGTGTCAGATGTAAATATGAACTTGTATGTTTGTGTGTGGGGAAACGATTTTTAAGAAAGAAATCAACGAAACCAGACCTCTGAATTGATTTCTTTAGTCCTCCCCATAGGAACTTTTTGTAGTTAAAACTTATTACATTTCTCCTATCCTTACCTGTTCTTTCAACTGCCTCTCCAACGCGACGATCCTATCGTTTGCCTCATCCAGCTGCTGCATCAGGTTCTCCTTATCTTGAAGCGACCCTGTTAATCTTCGCTCTAGGTCTGATTTTTTGTCTGTCACCATCGCCAGCTCGGCTTTCAAGGATTCCAGACTTTGTACATGGTCCTAGTGGAAAAATGTTAAGTAATTAGTTTTGCTATCATTTTTGTTAAATTAATTCATAACTACATCTCATTTTATTCAGTTCTTATTATTCATTTTAATCTTTGACTATTGTATTTTCTTTGAATTTATGACAAGGTTTTTATACAATTACTTTATCCTTTAGCTTTTCCAAGGGAATCTCTTGTTATTTGTTGTGAATGATAGAAATATGCATTCGAAATTGAAAGGAAGATATCTTTATGTAATGTGCTCTGCAGAACTTGAAATCTTAGTGAAATGATACGCCATTAGGCCTTGAATTATACAATACTCATATTACTCATACTTACTATTACTCTGCCAATAAATATAGACTCTAGTTGCGTAACCATATCGCACCAATCTCCAATTATCAATTTGTAAGGTTCAGACTTCAAGCTTATTAATTATAGAAGTGCAATTTGATTTGTAAACTTTAGACGGGGAGAAATTATTTAGTTCCACTTACTTGGAACTAATTTCACCGATTGGATGATTGTTGTTGTGGTTATTGATATTAGGAAAATATTGTTCTTGGTAGATTTAACATTTCGTGGAAGGTGCTGTTTCAGATTTAGAAGTGCGTCTAAAACTAGCTTTTGAATTTTTATACTAACATCGGGCTTTTGAGGAAATACTTCTTATTCGTCATAATTCTCTTGATTACTACTAGTATGAAGGAGGATGCAAGGTTAAAATGCTTTAAAGATTTTTTTAATGTATTCCTATTTCCTATCTACATTTTTTACACAAACCCTCTTATGTAAAGGAGACTCGTAGTCCATCAGTGGGTGGTTTAGGGCTCTTGATGTTATTTAGTGCAATTTGAAACAATACATGCCTGTAAGCTGGTTTTCCTCATGGAACATTGGTCTTTCAAGCCCTCAAGCTGTGCCAGCAGACTGGCTTCAACTGCTGATGACTCTTTGAGCTGCACTGTCAGTCTGGAGTTCTGTGCTGTCAGCTCAGCAATAAGGCTGGCTTTTTCTTCATCACGCTGTGGACAATAAATAGGATTTAGTATTGGATTTCATTAGATATATCTGTCTTCTCTCAAGGAAGGAGGTGGTATTTGAAACTAGGCAAAGCACTCATGTTTATGCCAGTTGTGTTATGGTTTGACTTCTCACGTAAAATAGTGGTATAATCAACGACTCAACGGCCTACGTAGCAATAAACAATATTGTAGTGGTCCAAAGGGCTTTTTAAGGGGGGGGGGATTATCGAATGCCTTCTCCCGCCTCTTGAAAGTTTCTATGTTTGTCTGTTACTCCTTTACGTCAAAACGGCCGAAGGGATCGGGATGATATTACGAACAAGGGTACATTATAGTCTAGATATGCATATGGTTTGAATAATTATGATGTCGTGGTGGCCCGGAGGTTTAAGACGCCCACTTCTCATGCATGAGGGTGCGGGTTCGAAACCTACCAACGGCAAGTACCAATGTGACTTTTTCCGAGTTATATGTACTTTCTAAGATTATTTAGACACCACTGACAAAACGGTGAAGGAAAAACATCGTGAGGAAACCTGGACTTATAATTTCTAATTATAAGTTTGAAATCGCCAACCCGCATTGAGCAAGCGTGGTGATTAACGCTCTAACCTTCTCCGTGTGAGAAGAGGCTTTGCTCAGCAGTGGGCATTTATAGGCTGTTGATGATGATGAATTATGATATTATTACCGTATAGTCTAGGACTTAAAGAAAGAAAATAACCAAAATTTTAGATGATGCTACTGATACTGCCATTCATAGAGGATGGTAACAATAATAATATTATGTAATTACACATACATAATTATAATATAGAAATTCATCAACATTACGCAACAATTTCCGATAGATCGTAATAAACAACAATAAATAACATACCAACGACACGCAAGGCTTAACAATACAATACAAAAAAACATATACTTTCATAGATTAGGTAGTACAATTAATGAATTTGGTATGTTGAAGTGTGAATAATTTGGTATTTCTATTTAATTATTAGCCTTTCATTGTGTGAAGAAAGTTATGGAGAACGTGGAGGCTTAACTTTGAAGGTATAGAGTACAGAAGCGTTCATCATTTTGGTGTTTAAATTGGTAGGTATAAAGAGTAGTTTCATGCGCGATCGCTTTAGTGATCGATTGTAGGCATCGACATCTTAGGTGAGTGTGACTACTATGCATGAAACCTCAGGTTTGATCGTCGGACCTAGCAATGGGTTGGCTGGACTAGAATTTGTGTTTGCAATTTAATCAAATACGTAACAGGCTATAATCTTATCTTTAGAATGTAGGTATGTATATATTTAATAACATAGCTTACGGGACAGCGTATCTACGAATGTATACCTAACCCTTCACGAAGCTACAAAAAAAAACCACAATATTTAAAAACATATTATAGTGAACTCAATTCTATTTTTGCTGACAAAAGGAAATGCCTAAACAGCCTTAATGTGACCTCCTTCAAGTATAGCACAAATGACTCATTTCTGGCAGTACAAACGCATGTCAAGATACACTAAAACTTAACAGAAAATTGTAATATATTATCAACATTATCGCCAAAGTATAAGGTTTAAAGTCGAATAACGAATTATGTTAGAACAGTGTACGTTGAAGCGTTGTCCATATATTACGTTTTTCATAGAAATTCAAGGTCGACACGTTTCATGGTTTTTGATACGTGAAATCACAAAAACCGCATAAAAACCCGTTCTGCTTACTTTAGTTATGACCACGGAAAATTATTGTATTCATGGTTTTGGTATTTATAAGGCGTAACATTATTATAATGGTAGACGGATTGATATTCGATATTGGTCTATGATGTTATGAAAACTTATTGATATTAGTTTGTCGAATTTTGATCTCTTTTATTAGACTACAGGGAAATTTATGAAGAATGAAAAATGGGTAATGTTTGGGTAATTTTTTTTTCAGTGGGGAAATTCATCGAATTGCTGCTCCCGCCTGGGTGACGCGGGAGGGAGTGTCAGACTCTTACTAACTAAAAACCACCCCGTTCCTTCTCCTGCACGTCGAACCGGAGCCCAGGTAACCCGTTAGGTTCTCCGCGACAAAAATGGGTAATAGATAGAGTATTAATTTCTGGACATTTTGGTTTCGGTTGTAAAATGCGTGGCTGGTTCTCTACTCTAGGCTCGCAGTTAGGTATATATAACTGGTGAAGACTGGGTGTCAGATAATTAAAAATGTCTTAAACACGTAGCTCTAATTCACAATCCTGAATTTAATTTTGTTCCAAGTGGACAAAAGGTCGCGCGCCTCAAAGAGCCATCAGACCACCACAGATGGGGCCCAATAGGGCTGATGCAGATTCGGAGTCGCGGAGAACCTAGCGGGTTACCGGGGCTCCGGCTAGAAGTGCAAGAGAAGGCACGGGGTGGTTTTTAGTTAGTAAGAGACACTGACACTCCCTCCCGACTCACGCGGGTGGGAGAAGTCATTAGATGATATTCCCCCCTTAAAAAAAAGTGGGCAAAAGGTCTCTTGTCCATGAAGAATTGCAGACCCAATCTCTACCTTCTATAAGGTTAAAATTAGAGGTATTTTGTATGTTGAGAACTAGGCTTTTGACTGCACGGTTGGCGCAGTGGCTGGGCAACTAGATGCCGCACAACGTCTGGCTGATTCGATTACCGCATAGAACAACTCTTTGTGTGATTCACAGATTATTGTTCCAGACAGGAGAAAAACTTAGTATGGGTCTACATTTTTTTTAAAAAGGAAAAGAAATAAAGGCTGTAAGGAAAACTTGAAGATATATTATGTTCAGTTATCAAAATAATTGTTAAATACAAAGTAAAGATAACCAAACAAAAATTCTACGAACCACTTACGAACTTTATTACCCGTGTTAGTCAAACCAGAAATGAAACGCTGAATTATCTAAATCTAATCTTGTTTCTGATATACGGAATCGATAATCGAGATTTGCCGGTAAATATACTAGCGAAAAAAAATACTAACAGGTGTGGATACAAGCACTGAAACCTACCCCAATATTCGCAAATTTTTTCATTTAATTTCCAACTCTATATCAAAACCGTTAAGGTTGAAAATCCATGAGATTAAGGGATAGCTTAAAATGCAGGTGTACCTTTACTCTTTTTACCGAAACCATTAAAGTACATTGTTCCTAACTTCAAGCGTGGTTAATCATCTTAATGGCTGTAACATCACACTGTTACAGCAATCTGAACTTTCTAGCAGTTGTTTTAAAGTCCATTATATCATTTAGTTGGATTGCGAAATAGTTTTTCCCAGTGCTTTTGGAAGGACGTCCACGCAAAAGGCGTGACGTGTTTCGACAGTGTCTTTTACTGTAAGATGTTTATATTTAAGCTATTTTGATGATAAATTACCTGTATTAGTCATAAAGTGGTCATAAACGATAAATAAATCACTGAATAATAACTGTTGAATATTTTGTTTGACAATTTATTTCGGGTCGTAGATCTTTGCTAAATGAAATAAGTTTATTGACTTTTAAGAAAAAACAAAACGGTAAATATTCATGTAATAAACAACGATAAAATAAATGTGTCGGCGCCGCCGTCATTATTTTGTAAACTGCGAATGTAATGGGCGAGCAGTGAACCAACAACTGACCGACGTCACTTCAACCCCACCACCGAGTGATATATAAAGCAGCGCAAGCGCAAGCTCGAGTCAGTCGTTCGTCGATCGTTGCCCAGTTCACACGTTACGCAATCGCTGAGTAATTTTATTGTTGGTTTTATTTGAGTGTTTCCTTTATATAATCAGTGCTGAATTATTCAATTATTATAATTAAAAATTAATGTGAAAGTAAGTTCATTTAATCGAAATAAACTAAGTGATTGTGTGAAGCTCTTTGTTTTATTTTCAAATAATGTCGGACCCTGATCCTACATCAGAAGTGGGATGGACCGGGATTATTGAAAATGTTAAAATTATCGGAGCCGGTTCGTGAAGAACTACCTACATGCAAATGCGACGAAGAAGATAGTGCTGCAAGATTGGAAGTGCTTAGCTATACATAGCTAGCTACTCTGTAGTGAAGATACAACGTGGCTAACGTTGAGGCAGCTACTTCGAACTGAATCGCTATCTGAAGCAGCAAATGAAGACATGACGTGGTCCCAATTCAAGCCGGAGTACATTGGCGTCCAGTGACAGCGTAAGATACGCGGCGTTAACGCAGCGTTTGGTGAGCGGCGTCTTGATGTCTGCAATTGGACACTGCTCCCATCGGGATTATACCAGGTGACTTTGTTCCATTTATTATGATTCCGATACCATATGGGTCAAAAACGAGTCAAAGACTTGAGTTTACAATTGTTAGTTTTCCAATTTGAAATTTTATTTTATTTTTGTCGGGTAGTTATTTAAAGAAAATAGCCGTGATGTTTTAGATCCGAGATTATACATGGTCATTAGAATTACGTCTGATAGTGTTACTTTGTGTTGTGTATTGTTAGGTAATATCTCAAGTAGTAGGCTTTCATTTGGTTGGAACTTGGAGGTATGGTTTCCGCGAGGTAGATGCAGAATTAAGTGGTGCTTGCTGTCTAACGCGGTACAGAGTATTGAGAAAAGTAGTTTATAACAAATAAAGGTCAAAAGCTGCTAATAATAATTGGTAGTTAAAGTCAGAATTGAAGAGACCTCTAAAGTCCTACATTCATTTAGGATTATTGTTGGGTTGGAAAATAGTTAAAGCGCTAAGAATACTCTGATGAGAAACATGCTTCCCTTGATCTTGCCATTAGGATTTGTTATAATTAGGGCCTTTCAGTACCTAGTGAGTTAGTAATTGTAAGGGTAAAACTTTTCATTTATTCTACTATATCGTGTGTGCTAGTCATAGTCGTTACTGGGGCAGGGACTCGAGTCCATATAATGAAACTACAGTCGTGGCTGACTTGTGACTCTGAAACACTGGAGTAACTATCCACACTTGAGTAGTGTATAAATTGTGGTTACCTTGAAAA